GAGTCCTGCAGCCTAGCACTACAACTGGGAACCACATGGTGCCGAAGCAGCGGCAATGGAGAGGGGTGGGGAGGAACAGCGGCAGGCAGGAAAGCGGGGAAATGGCAGCAGCAGGTGGCAAGGGAGTGGCAGCCAGCAGGCACACGGGTGGGAGTGTGAAGCCCACGCCAGTGTCCCGGGGCCAGGGCCCAGAGCAGGGTGGGAGGAGCATGGGGAGCGAGCCAGAAGAGGCTCTGTGGAGCCAGGCTGACTCCCCACTCTCCCTGCTGGCACAGCCTGGCCTGGCTACATGGAGCCCCACACTGCTGCTGCCCTGCCCCGGGCCCTGGCCTTGGGACACCAGCGCGGGCCCCACACTCCCACCCATGCGCCTGCTCACTGTCACTCCCTCGCCTCCTGCTGCTGCCATTTCCCCACTTTCCTGCCTCCCGCTGTTCCCCCCCCACTCACTGGTCTGGCACAACATGGTTCCCAGATGTAGCGCTGGGACCACAGGAGCCAGCCCGGCTCGGTCCTAAGGACTGGAGTGATCGCCTACAGTCCTCCCTTGCCTCCCCTCCACCTGTTCTTATCTGAATTTCCTTCTCAGGCAGAGGGAAACAGGAACAGCCCCAGGGTTCCAGGGTAGTAGCCTCTGCTAGGGAGAGGCTTCCAGCTGCAGGCCAGCCCTACTGCGGCTGCAGGGGGCTCCCGCCGGGGCGGCTGCAGGGCCCTGCCGCTGGCTCCCCCTGGGTCCTACTGCCCCAGGTGCCTTTGACATCTTTGACAGACAGCCAGGGCAGATAAATATTATTTTTCTAAATGTTTAGGGGCCCCACAGGCTGGATAGAATGGCCTGGCAGGCTGGATCTGGCCCATGGGCTGTATTTTGCCCACCCCTGATCTAAAGTCTGTCAACAAACATTGGTCCTTAGTCTTGTCCAGTATAATATTTTTTCTGTCTGAGACTCATTTTCCAGCAAAATATGAAAGCTCTTCTGAGCTCAAGGCTTTGAAGTTTGGTTAATACCATTTGGGTTCGTCATCCAGTTCAGCTCTCTGTGTATGTGGAAGCAATATTTGTACATCACAGGAGGTGTCATGTACAGCACATGAATAAGATCTGTAATGCAGTATAGTTTAGAGGTGTTGTTCTAGAAGTTGGGTGTATGTTGGATCTCAGTTGTTATCTAGTTTATTTTATTTCCAGTAAAGAAATGTTTCAGAAGTTCAATTTAGTTAATACAGCTTGTGAATTATTAGTTTGCAATTTACTTAGAGATTGTAATAGATGTAACTTTCTCTGCAGCTGTGCACCAAGGCATTGAAGGATGGCTGGACAAGGTACAGTAAATTCTTATCCTGAATGCTGCACTTCTCTTCTTAATGATTACAATCAAGAGGAAATATAGGCTGGTGTCTCAGTTTGGCAGAGAGAGACTAGGAGATCTCATGGGGGTTTTCCATTTCAACGTTCTGTGAAGAGATGTCTTTCCTCCCACCTATTTTTTAAGCATATTTCCTCCTTCTGCTATTATATCACATGCCAGTACAGTAAGTGAGTAAATGCACAGCAGAGAAACTTACCTCACTGGCAAGCTGTTGGCTGAAAGCTAACACAGGTAAATCATTTTCCATTGATGTGTGTGTGTGTGGCTGATAGCTAGAAAAGGTAAATTGTGTGTGTGTGTGTGAAAACAGAATGAGATCTGCTGGTAAAGGGAAAGGCACTGAAAAAATGCTCTCCATAAAATCCTGCCTCCTGTTGTGAATTTCAGTTTACAGCTTACTGTAGAATAAATCAGTTATCACTGCTGTATTAATCTCTGAGAAGTAACCTACATTTCATAACATTGTGTGTCTAGGTTCAAGGTAAAGGTTGGTACAGATCTGCAGGATGACATTCATAGATGCAGACTCATAAGAGAAATGATTGGTCCTGACAATATATTGGTAAATATAATTTTTAATTACTCTACTGCTTTTAAATAACTTCAAATATAAAAAGGCTGTCTGTTCAGATAGGGTTTGATTTAATATATGTGATTTCAGAGAGTTCTTGGAAGATACTTCACCCTCTCCAAGTCCTGAATAATGATGGCTACGAATAATGTTTTTACACCAAAAGAGAGAATAAATTGCACATAGTACATATATAGGGACATCATTTGATTCTGTGCCACAGCTTCTATTAAAGCTTACAGGCATTTTCCCTGAGTAAGAACTATAGAACTGGGCCCTGAAGGATTGGTTTTGTAAAAAGATTCCAGAGGAGAACTGGTAGGTTGAATTTTTTTCCCCAACATTCAAGTTTTCAAATACTTCTGGGTGGAAATGGTAAATTTTGGTTTGGAAGTAAGCTTCTAGGGCTGCAGAGTTGTTGTAAATCAAGTGCCTTGTGACCGTGTTATGCTTTAGAGATCAATCTTTTTGCCCAGCCTGGTTGTGTCATGACACAACCTAGCTTCTGGTCCTACTAGCCTATTGTAGTGCCTGGACACAGTGCATTAAGGGAAATTTCTGATTCAGGAACTTGGTTCAGACAGAAAAATAGAGACTCGATACATCTAAATTACAATGTCTGATAGGAATCCAAATCAAATGTTTGTTTCATCAATTGTCTTTTAATGTTTCAACATGAAGTCTAAACTTTCATTGGAAGGCAAAAAATTAGTTGCTGGGGAAAAATAGTCAGATGAAATTTTACATTGAAAAAATATTTCTGTTAGAAAATGTTTGGTCAAAACTTTTCAGGGTGCTTTACTCATACTATATCCTCCTGAGAAATGGAATAAATTCGCCTTCCTAGATCTCGGCACCCAACTGGCATCTGGTACCTGAGCTGTCATGTTTAAAGCTAGCTTGGGTATCTCTATACTGCACTGCAGTCTGCAGCATATCTGATACCCACAATGCATAAGAACAGAGTGAGTCTCAGCTGTGATTTTTTTTCTTGCTTTTCATCAGTTTATATCAACATTATGATTATTTTAAGTTGCCTATGTAAACAGTCAATAGAGCGATATAGTGAATTGGATTTATAATTGTCCTCAGATGCTGGATGCTAACCAACGATGGGAAGTGAAGGAAGCAATAGAGTGGGTGACTAAATTAGCTGAATTTAAACCATTATGGATTGAGGAGCCAACTTCCCCTGATGATATTCTGGGTCACGCAGCTATTTCTAAGGTAATTTAATGAAGATTTTACAATAACATAGTGACGACGTACCAGAAAATGCTGATGCTGCTCCATGAAATGTTCAATGTTCAGGTTGAAATAGATGTCAAAAGGCATAAACTACATTTGAAATGTATTCAATCAAATGTAACTTATACTAGAATGTTGGTTTTCTGGAATAATTAGTGTCATCAATCTGGATAGCTAGTTTTTCCAAAAATCAAACACCATAGTTTGAAATGCTGAAAACTAGAATTACCATGTTGTACAGCAAATGTTACCAAACAAAATAAATAAATATATGGTATTACAGAATGTTTTAAAATCTTAAAGCACTAGTTAATAAATAATGCACAGTTGTCTCACTGACAGGCAAAACCCAACTGCAGGCTGATGGTTTTATTAATACACAACCTTCTGGTTAATTGACTTTCTGGATAATAAACTCTCTACTGTAATAGTATGTTTCTAATAAGTAATGCTATGATTCTCTCATAATACCCGATAGCAAATTTCACAGGAGAGGTTTTGAAGGGGGGAAGATAATCAAATAGAAGCCTTCTGTCTGCATTAACTGTCTGTGGAGCACTGTATTCTGGGGTTTTTAGAGTATAGGGATCATGCCCCGTTGGCTTCTATAGGCCTGAATTCCAGATTGAGCCACATCTCTTTGTCCTATGTGTTTCACCATTTGGCTTAGTGGCAGAATGTCTCATGGCAGTCCTAGTTTACAGTGGTGGTTTTCATGACTGCAGTGACAAAGGTGCAGCTTTAGCAGTGAGTCTGTAAAAGAACATGAGATTCCTTTGCTTGCATGAATGAGCAAGGTAGCTAAGATTTGACCTTAAACTTGTGTGTTGTCTCATGGGTCCTTTATACACATTACATATATTCTGCAATTAACTGGCTAATCACACAGTAAATTTAGACTGGCCACCCATACAGAGTAAGTCTCTTTGGTCAGATCCAGAGAGTGATAGTCGATGGACCTGAGTCAATGTGGTGCATGGTGACCAGTGACGTCCTCCACGGCTCAGTACTCAGACAACTACTCTTTAATATATTCATAAATTATCTGGATTTGGGTGTCAGAAATGGACTGGCTAAGTTCGCAGATGACACCAAATTATGGGAAAATGTGGTCACACTAGAGGATAGGCCGACAATTCAGGTTAACCTGGACAGGCTCACAAGGTGGGCGGATCAAAACCTGATGACATTCAACATGGAGAAATGCAAGGTGCTTCACCTCGGGAGAAAAAACCCACATTATACTTACAGGCTCGGCAGTGCTGCGCTCACTAGCACAACTGAAAGAGACTTGGGGGTCATGATTGACCACAAGATGAACGTGAGCCACCAATGTGATGTTGCAGCCAGCAATGCAAATAAAACTCTGGCTTGCATCTATCGATGCATCTCAAGCAGGGGGGGTGACTTCTTGGGTCTTGCTTTCCTTGGCCTTGGTGGGACCACAACTGGAGTACTGTATTCTGGGCTCTACAATTTAGAAAAGATGTGGAGAAGCTTGAGAGAGTCCAGAGGAGAGCCAGGCACATGATTAGAGGTCAAGAGGACAGGGCTTATAAGGAGAGGCTGAGGCATGGGACTTTTCAGCCTGGAGAAGTAAAGGCTCAGGGGTGACTTGGTGGCAGCCTCTAAGTATATAAGGGGTGCGCATCAGGAACTGGAAGAATGTCTGTTCACCAAGGGAAGACAAGGTCTAACAGTCACAAACTGCTGGAAGACCATTTTAGACTGGACATAAGGAAAAACATCTTTACTCTCTAAGTTTCCAGAGTCTGGAATAGACTTCCCCCAGAAGTGGTACAAGCACCTACTCTGGATGCCTTTAAGAAACGCTTGGATGCTTATCTTGCTGGGGTGATCTGAACCCCAGCTGACTTCCTGCCTCTTGGGCAGGGGGCTGGACCCAATGATCTCACTAGGTCCTTTTCAGCCCTAATGTCTATGAAATCTATAATTATCACACTGGTGATAATAACTGGTTAATCACACTATAAATTTAAACCAGTCACATGTGCAAAGTAACCAGCTATAAAGTTAGTGCTTGAAAATGTAACAACTCTGTGTCATGACCCAAAGGGTATGATTTTGTGTGTGCTTCGGCACTGCAGAATTATTTCCCGCCACATGGAGCTTTCTTTGCACGGTGCAATTCTCAGTTGCATAGAGAAAACCCTGGTGCAAAGGAGTTCCCGCCACCCATATGTAAATTTGTTTCCCACTATTGGCTGTTTCTAAATTATTCCCACGTGGTGGCTAGCGATTGGCTTGCTAGCCGTATAAGAGGCTTGAGCAGTTTCCGCCCAAGTTGGAGGAGGAGGACTTCACATCCATCTCGTGAAGAACTCTAAGCGCGCTGTGGAGCCTAACAAACTCCGCGTGTGCCTTAGAGGAGGATACAGGGGCCTGATCAACCTCTAGCCTCTCCCCGTCGCCGCACGATCCCTCGATGTACCCTACCCTGCGTGCTCATGGAGAGTCACCTTTCGGACTCTCGTTTCGGTCGGTCCACGGAGCCTAGCAAACTCCGTGAGTGGTATCCAGAGCTCTGTTCGTGTTTGTTTAGCGGAGCCTAGCAAACTCCGCTCGTGTGTCTTCGGTGGAGCCTAGCAAACTCCATGTGTGGTTTGTTTGTTTTTTTTTTGTAACTGCAACTCAAAGTTTTCCTGCCTGCACCACGACCACCTTCGGTGTAAGTAAAACAATCTTTAATCAACCTCTACGCGTCAGTGCCTAATTCTAGTTCGCTGTGCCGACCTTTTCCCTGGCCCACGTGCCTGGGCTGCTGGCCACAGCCCCTCGGCCCCGACACTCTGTAGGTGGTTTCTGTCCACCTTTAATTTGTATAGCAGGCATGTTCTAAGAAATGTGAACCGATGTTTCCATGAAGATTTAAGTGTAATATTAACAGAGGATAAATGCTCATCATATGATAGTTAACAGCAGAGCCACAGACATCCAATAAGTGTGTTTCCTTATCACAGCGCGTGCCCTCATCTGTAATACTTTGTGGTTTTAGTATAGCAAAAGAGTGGCATAAAATGCACTTAGAAACATTCTATCACTTGCATAGAGTAAGTGGCAAACATTACATTGCATTAACTCTTATTCCATCCCACCTCTTTTCCTGATGTTAAGTAACTGTGCTGGGGAATTACAAAGCAGAAATAAGTTCTAAATGTATTTTTATTTGCAGGCCTTAGCACCATTAGGAATTGGCGTGGCAACAGGAGAGCAAGTAAGTATAGTTTTAATTTTGCCTTTCTATTGAATGTAGTTATGGCAATAAGCTTTGAGGATTTATGCCAACGTTCATTCTCATTTTTCATTAGGGGTTTGAATAACACAATTGAAAACATCCTTAGATATATTTCACATAGCATAAGTTCAGCTAATGCTACCAGGAATATCTTCTTTCCAACCATGTATCCTATTTCCCTTTCTCCCACATGCATCTGTATGAAGAATCAGGAAAGATTTTATTTTGAGGTATCTATAATAAATATAACAGCCAGCATTGTTAAGCACTCTCACTGCTCTGTTGAAATAAACATTATTCCTCATTGCGTTCCTATGAATATAATTCATTTTCTATTGCAGTAGGGGAACTGAGAGATCAAGAGAGGTCATTGGCTTCAGACAGAGAAGAAGCCAGGACTAGAACTTCTGGCCACAACCCTTTTGCTAAGTCCATTTATACCACACTAGGTCCCCTTGACATCTTAGTGAGTTGTAGTTCAGCATCTCATTAAGGATTCTTATGTTGCCTCTCTCATCTGTGGTATTCTCTTGAAAAATAGCCATTGGTGTCTAAATTTTAATAATTGAAAAGTGAAAGGAAGAGGATGTTCATGTTGTTTGAGGCTCACTTTTTAATGTTTGATTGATAAAGTGTCTGAATCAAGGTCCAGTCCCGAGGTTCCTAAGTAATTGACGGGCACCTTCAGCTCTCACTGACTTTGGTCCCATCTCATGCCAGCTTGCACTGGTTGGCTCAGATGAAGGATTTGATAGTTATGGATATAAGGTAGGCAGAATCCAACATCTCCCACAGACCTCAGACAAACCTAAATCATGGCCTGTATCCCTTCAAATATAAGATGCCCTTGAATTTAAGATGCACCTAAATTTTCTGATTCTCAATATTAAAAAAAAAAAAAAAAAAAAGCAAACAGATGCATTTAGAAGGTTCCAAACTCTATGGTAGGCATACACTACATCATGGGACTGGGGAATAGTGCATTAAAAGAGAGTATTCATTCTTAATACAATTGGTCAGTAATAATATGTCATAATAATGACAAAAATCAGTTCCTGCTATCAGGAAGCAGGGGTTGTTATAATGAGGTTGTACTATAAGAGCTTTCTATCCTTTTTTTTTTTTTTTTTAACTCCAATTCAAGGCATGGGCTGCTGCCCTCACCCCAGCTCCCCCTCCTGAGAGGTGGTGACACGGCGTGGTGGGTGGATGTGAAATTACATCTCCCTAAGATAAATTCTTGTTGGCACTAATGATAAAAGGCATAGACATCAGCACCATTTGACAGAATCTAGTGGTGGAAGTAATCAGTAGGCCTGTGCAAAATTTCACTAGCCGTTTCGTTTTGACACTGTTTCGACTCATTTCGAGGTCGAAACAGCAAAATCAAAACAAAACAAAGGTCTTCGAAACAGCCTCAAAACAAAATGAGGCTAGTTGAAACGTTTCGACCATAGCACTGGGGATGGGAAGTCAGTCCAGCTGGGCTGACTCCCCGGCCCCAGCCGATCTAGCAAAACATCAAAACAGAATCGAAACAGCCTCACTGTTTCAACAAAGCAAAATGGAACAGCTGTTTTGAATCGAAATTAAATTTGATACGAAATGCTGTTCTGTCGAAACCTCAAAACTCAAGGCGAAACGGAACAGTGCCGTTTCGCATAGCCCTAGTAATCAGTCCTGAAACTGTTTCAGAACTTGTCTCTGTATCTGTTTTAAATTGCTAGATCTCAGTAAAACGGCTGGTACCGTTAAGAGATAAGTCACCATACCAATGTAAACACTATTAAGTTTTTTATTGCACCTTTCTTCCTGCCAAGGCCTGATACTAAATCTACCAAGCCAAGCGCATGAATTAGTACTTTCTCAGATCTTGACAGCAACTGGAGAAATACTGCATTCCAGCAACAGGAAAAAATACTGCACCTAGTTTTTCATGTGGAGCTCTGCTTTCACTCTATTTGTGTTATTCTATCTAATGGCAAACATTTCGTTTTTGTTTGTACAATGAAAATCCATTGAGGAGGTTGGCTTTGAATTGCTCATTAAGGCAAGTCTGTCTTATAAAATAAAGGCCAGTTCCTCATAAGAATCTCTGAGCAACACACAAGCATTAATGGAGTTATCCTCATTCTTCTGTGAATTAGGAAGTATTATTTTCCCGATTTTTAAAAAATGGGAATATGAAGCATAAAGAGATTGACTTGGCCAAGATCCGTACACTATATCTGTGGCAGAGCCAGAAGTGAAGCTTTAGCCGTGTCATGACTATAAGACCATCACTTTTTTTTTCTGGCCTGCTCTACAGTGGTCCACTCTTGCAATCCCAGGGCTGGAGCAATCCAATCATTCAGATAAGGAATATTGTTCAGTTAGGAGTGGAAGTTTTAGTTAGTCAATAGAACAAGAAACATGGAGTTAGGGCTGTTGGGTTCCATATCAAGCTCTGCCACTGACACTGCTGCGTGAGCTTAGGCAAATCAACATTTTTATATGCCTCAACTCCCCAAGCTGCAAAACGGGTATAATTTCTTGCAAGTATGTAGTGATTATTTAATGCTGGGAATTATTTTGGGCCATCTTCTGTGTAAGCAGCATGACAAAAAGAACTTGGGGAAACAGTAGGATTGTGGTACAATTGTTTAGATTCGTGCTGCCAACAGTTCTTGTAATATTCTGCCAATTCCATGGGCTCGTGGTCTCAATTTCTTTTCTTCCTGCAGTGCCACAATAAAGTGATATTTAAACAGCTCCTACAGGCTAAAGCCCTGAGCTATCTCCAGATTGACAGCTGCAGACTGGGAAGTGTGAATGAAAACTTGGCTGTGTTGCTGATGGCCAAAAAGTTTCAAAGTAAGGCTTTTGGGAATGTTGCAGTAACACCAAAATGGTCGTCTTTGAAGCCTGTCTGCCATGCAGCTTCTTCAGCTCTTACATTGTATGCACTGAGTGTCAGCTTGCATGTTTCTGTAATCTATTGTTTTCTGTCATGCTTTAGCACTATATCAAAATGATTCCTTAATGTAGGGTGTTCTGTTTCCCTACGGTTGACTTGGGGAAGCGGGGGGCATAGTTGGGATTTGGCACTACAAGTTAAATACCAACAAAGAATTAAAATAGGATTCTTAATAATCTGGTCATTTGTTCGTACCTGTAATACATAAGAACTGTTCTGCTTTGATTTCAGTTCCTGTGTGTCCTCACGCTGGGGGCGTTGGGCTCTGCGAGTTAGTACAGCACTTGATACTATTTGACTATATTGCAATATCTGGAAGTCTTGAAAACAGGTTAGTAATACAGGCTACTGCTAAAACATTCAACAGTGGAGGTATTTTACCTTTCAAAGAGGCTTTTGACATATACTTGCCTTTCAGTAGCCATTATGAATTTTTAAATCAGGGTTAAAGGGATGTGTTGAACTTCACTGTGCAACTGCCAAAAATGAAGACCTAGTAGTGTTTTTGACCGAAGCTGATTGATAATCTTAGAGCTGTATTCTCCCTTTATCCAGCTTCTTGTGGCTACAATGGCAGCCCTGTATATGTGTGACCAAAGTCAAAATATGGACATAGACTGTGGTAAAAGATAGGATGTTACCAAAAGAAGAAAATCCTGCTTCTCTTACCCATGTGAATACCTCTACTGATTATTACTGCTGCTTCCTATTTGCATTGCAGTAGAACCCAGATATGTTAAGTGCAGTATAAAATATATGAGAGACATGGAAGCTAATCTAAAAAGGGAAAATGTAGTCCAAAGAAGGGGAATGCAGTATACAGGCAAAGTATTTAGTGCTGAGACATGGATCTTGCTAGGTCCAAACTGATTGATTTGCTTCTTAGCGTTGAGGGAGGAGATGTGAGGGAATATGTTTGGAGGGCACAAAGAAGAGAAAACAACTGAAAAGAAAAAAATATATAAAAGGGTTTGAGTAAAACCATAGTGAGAATGGAGCCCAAAACAGACAAAAGTGACGAAGGCTCAAAGATGCCAGTGACATACAGCACTGGAGAAAACTTTAGGGGATTGACCCTTTAATGGCAACTCTGGAGCTCTTCGTACAGCTGTCTGGGAAAGCGAAAGGAAGCTGCTGGGACAGCTTCATTAGGCATTTTCCACATGGGTTAATAAAATGGAATTAGCAATCTTCTCCAAGTGGTATACAGTGTTCCAGGCAGAGCTTCCCAAAAGGATCAAACAACTTCTCTTGTCTTTTTAAAATATAGTATAGGACAGTGGTTCTCAGACTTTTTAGACTCAAGGCACCTCTTTGAAAATGCCGGCTCTTAAGCTTTTGCTTATTTCTTGACTACTAAAAAAGAATAGCATTATTCTTCTATTGCAACAAACTCAGAAAGACCACAACAGGTCAGAATGTTTTTAATACTATTCCTATTGGGATTCCTATTTGAAATCTCTGAGTTCATCTTGCGAATCATGCATACATGTTTGCACAGCTAATATTACATGGCACCCCACAATACCTTTAAAAGGATCTCGTGGCACCCTGGTTGAAAATCCCTAGTATAGGATCTTGCTGACATTCTTTGTCTGCAGTGAACTCTGCAAACAGGAATTCCCTGAATCCTTCCAGTTGTCTATTTGTTCCAGTGTTTTGCTTGTACTTGTTTTGTAATTATTAAATTAAAATATCTGGAGCTTCACCTGTGCTCACATTATAATTAACCATGTAAACCATTCCAATGTGTGTTTAATCTTTCTGGTCTTTGGAGCAATATAATTAAATTTCCTTAAGCTTTGCTTACGGTACAAAATAATATTTCAGTTCCTGATAAAGTAGTACATTTAGCTGCTCTAGAGATTACAGCTTTGTTTTAGTTAATTCATAGTGTTAAGCAGCAGCCCCACTGACAACCCTTCAGTTGCTCCACTAATGACCTCTGTTGCCACACATAATGATTTCTTGTTTACACTCCTTTAAATGCCCAGTGTACATGCACAGATTCTGTATTCATGCTGGTTAATTATGAAATCGCAAGCTTTTGCAAAAATCACTAAGCACCACCAGTAATATAAGCTTACCAACTTTTATGTATTAAACAAGAAAATTAATTCTGGCCCTCCTAAATCTCATATCCTGGCCAAAGGGCTTTTCTTCTGCCAAATATTCTTGTTCTGATTAATTTAATTGAGATCAGTAATTCTCACTAGTGATGGGCTGAGCTGGATGTGCTTTCTCCTAATACATGTGCTAGGCTAAAATGCATTTTCCAACCTACATAAGGCACTAGCTAGCAGTAGTTTTTGTATGTGAAGAAAGATTCTTCCTAAACTGCTGGTAGTTCTGGTTAAATTATTTTTTATCCTTTTTTTCATGTCAGAGACAAGGCCATAAAGATGTTTATTATATATATTTAGAAACAACAAAAAAGTAGGAGGTCAAATTCTATTTACTGATGATACATAGGTGGGAGATTCAGAGCATGAAACAGGAAGTAATGGATGATTGCAAGGCTGGATGAATAAAGATGGGATTAAATGTAATAATATAGAGTACATGACTTTGCATTAAGGAATTAGTAACAAGACCTTCTGCTATAAGCTGGGAGCTCCATAGATGGAAACATCAGAGAAAGACCTGGCTGCACTAGTTGATTACCAGTTTATGAGCCAATATGATGCATCTGTGAAAAAAAGTAAATGTGATCCTATGATGAGATCTTTCAGCAGAGGTATTAGTACCTCAATAGCATGCTAGCATAAAGCTTATTTAAGAGCCTAGCTTATTTGGCCTAGCAGAATGTAAGCTGCATGAGATGGCTGATTTCTACAAATACGTTAGAAGAGTAATGACCAGGGAAGAAACAGAACTGTTTAAGTTTTAAAGAATAATAGCGGCTAGAAAATAGGCTTTTAAGTCACGAGAGCAGTTAAGATCTGCAACAGCCTTCCAGTAGGAGTGGGGACAAAATGAAAACCATACACTTGTTTTAAAGGAGCTTGTTTAATTCATGGAAAGGATTATATGGTTGCCTGCAATAGCAGAGGTTAGGATTTGATGACTCGGTAGGTTTCTTCCAATCCTATGTTCCTAACCCCCACTTTTTCTTCCAGGATGTGTGAATATGTTGATCACCTGCATGAACATTTCAAATATCCTGTAATAATCAGGAAGGCTTGCTACATGCCACCACAGGTATGCTATCAGTGTGTGTCAGCTGTATTTCAGTGGCACAGTAAAGAAAGCATCTTTGATACAAGTAGTGGAAGACTTTTGAAAGATCACTTTACCAAAGGGCCTGTAGTGTGCTAGTACAGTAAGCCATAGCATAAACTTGGTGATTCTGAACAGCAAAATAACAGAAAAAAAATCCAAGACACTCTTGAATCTAGAATATGACCATGCTTAGAACCTCAATCCAAAGCAAATTTCTGGTCTTAATCTTGCATGTTTTATTCAACACTGCTGTTGTTAACATAAGAAGGAAGGATAGTAAATTGAAAGGATGTTTTCAAGTAATGTCCAGCATGGTACTCAAATGAAAAATTATATATTCATATTCCAAAATTGAAGGCCATTGTTTAATTACAGGCCTCTTAGGGGAAAAAAAGAAAACAAATCTGGACTTTTCAGATTTCGATGTAATATTTGCTTAGGAATTAGAATTTCAACAATGCTTACAGCTGATATTGTATAAAACAAGTTGCGCAACAAGTGAACTTTCTTAAAAACAAAACCATGGGACTAGTTTGTTCCTTGCAACATGTCATCATTAATGCAAAAAACTTTTCTTTATGAAGGATGCTGGATATTCTACTGAAATGAAAGAAGATTCTACAAGGAAATACCAGTTTCCGCAGGGAGAAGTTTGGCAGAAGCTCTTGTCTGGCCATAAGATATATCTGCATTAAGTTTAACCATGAAAGTTTTCAGGCTTAAAATGAAATTCCACAATGTATGCTGCTAATGCAGCAAGACTCCAAATGAAGATGAACAGTTCTGTACAACTGTGGGGGAAGCCTTCAAAAAAGTAACCTTGACTACTAAATTATATGTTATCTAGAGTTTTAATTAGTTTATGATGATGGATGGAATTTTAACACTTAGGCTATTATATTCGTGTAACCATAGGATGCATTAGAGAGTGAATTTCTAAAACAAATCCCCATTTTCAATTACTCTTATTTGCTGCTTAAATTTGTTTAAGTTTAGAGTATTAAAATAAAACTTAACTTTCATCTGCATGGTCCCGATTATAATAATACATAATAATTTTGTTTGCAATTAAGTACAGATCTATTCACTATAACGTTGCAACAAAAGTTTCAGCTGGACAGGATAAGAGGGGAAGCAAGCAGTACAAGGAGCTTGAGAGAATTCAACCCCTACACATTGATGAGAGATGTCCTACTGATTTGCATAAGTGTGCATAGGACACACAAGTACTTGTCCTGCAAATGTTAGTAAATATGTGAAAAGCTTTATTTGTTCATTAGTTGTGTACATAAAAACAAGTTGGTCTGACGAGCAGCTCTGTGAAAGGTAGTAATCTCATCTGTTAAAGTTAGTTGTGGGAAAACATGAGACATTGACCAAGTCTGGCACTTTGTAAACTCCTCAAATTTAGACAGAACTACAACCTGCCTTGCTGTCTACTAGCTCACCTGGCCAGACCAAGAATTTAGAAAGCAAACCAAGATGCTATAAAGGACAGCATTTAAAAAAAAACTTAAAAGTATAGCTGTGTACAAAAAGGTACTTCTATTTAGTACCAGCATTTAGTACAAACTGAGCAAGTCTACACAAGATGCTAAAGACATGGACTAGTTTTACTGTGCATTAGCATGGCCAGCAAAAACCATGGTAATGCAGAGTAGAATTATTCTCTTGTGCATTACTGTAATGGAAAGAGCAAGCACTGATGCTGCTGCTCAGTAGCGCTGATTATGATGCATTAAGCTAGTACCTGTAATTACAGGTACTATCATTAATGCACCGTAATTACAGCGCATTAATAAGTGGGCACATCTACACATTCAGTAACAAACCTTCAAGATGTATCACTCTAACAAATAATATATTTATAAAACCAGATTTATTAAAAACTCATGTCTCTGCTTTCTCTATGAAGTACTTTTTTCAAAAGGTAAAACCATACTTTTCTTTAGAAATAAGTTTTTATTTTTAACATATTAATGTATAAACATTCAATGTAGATACATACTAAGAACAACTAACATCTCTGTGGTCTCATTGGAGACTACAGTGCTAAGAACAGCTGTAAAGTAAATATTAGTTAAAATGCTAAATTAAGCCACAGCAGAATCAATGCACTTCCTAAACGATTTATATACAGTAGAAATAGTATGCAGCCTAGAACCAACAAAATGTAACTTGAATATTTCCACACTTATACATGACTAGTAAATAGTGGAAAAAGTTAGCACTCTCAACACTTAAGTTTCACTTCAATCCAAAAAATCTCATGAGTGAGGGAATAATTCATGGTGTTTGTTTCTGGTTTCCCCCCTCCCCCCAGCCCCATGCATGCATGCATGCATGCACATACACACACACACACACACACTCTCTCTCTCTCTCTTTTTTCCCCCTCCCCCCAATTAAAATCCACACTGTTAAATGCAAGTGTTCCAAACAGTTACATGCATTAAACAGCCATCTCCATTTTAATAGCTGGGTGGGGATTATAGTCTTCGATCTTAAAATCTTCTACTTTGAAGTCATTGATGTTTTCAACTTTACGAAGAATTCTGAGTTTTGGGAAAGGTCGCGGTTCTCTCTCGAGCTGAAATTTAAAAATAAATCTATTGTGCAACCAGTCCTGTACAACAACATAAAACCAAAAAGCCAATGGTAGGTAGACTTCCTAGATAATTAGAGGGAGGTTGTACATGTTAATAAAAACTTGCCTGCAATGTTGTCAGTTCTTTCACATTTGCATTTAAAGGTTTTTTTGATGGAAGAACAAGGCTTTAATGAAGAAGTGCCTACTATGGATAAGTGTACAATAGAGTCATCGGTTTGCAATCCGAACATGATCACATACACAAAAACAGAGTTCACTAAAGGTGCCACTATTCAGCTAGCTTAGTAGAAGCTAACTGAATAACGTTTAGTAGAAGCTAAGAATTTAAATAGAATGGCAGTAGAAGGTTTTGTAAGAGTGAAGTCAAAAAGTCAAAGTTCAGATTTAGTCTGGAATTCAAATTAAGATTCTACTGTATTTTATTTGTAACCTAGTTCAAGTTGGAAGGATAGCATAGCACTCAATCATGTAGTAAAATGGTGAAAATACATTAAAGGATTGACAAATATAAAGGTGTTGACAACAAACAGTACCAAATTTGACAATACTCTGTTGGATAGCTACCTCTGTTACATATATATCATAAACATATACTTACTTGAACTTTCAAAGGTTCAATATGATTTAAGTATATGTGAGCATCTCCTAGCGTGTGTATGAACTCACCAACCTGAAGAGAAAGGGGAAGAGAATATTGGTCCTCAAACAAATACATGAGACTTGTTTCAAAAATACCCAACTTTCCAGTGCCTGCATTAGATGTTCTGACGCATCTATTCCTGAAGTGTAATCCCTGCATCAAGTTGTCTTCATCATTTTCATGCCATTTAAAAACCATTTTCCCCCTAGAGTAGCCAATCATTAATTACATTTTAAATCATTCTTAACTACCACAATGCTGCACCAGATAGCAAAGAAACATTTCATATTGCTCTGCAAACTCAAGTAGCGAGAGAGCGAGCGCGAGCAGTGACAGCTCTTTTTCATCTATATCCAATCAAAAGGCTGGGTATTAAAGTCTACGTTGGGAGGCAACTACCTTACCTTTAGGCCTGTCACATGAGCAATCATGTACGTGAGCAGTGAATAACTGGCAATGTTGAAAGGCACTCCTAGTCCCATATCTCCAGATCTCTGATACAGCTGGCAAGAAAGCTCACCATTTACAACATAGAATTGGCAGAGAGCATGGCAGGGGGGTAAAGCCATCAAGGAAATATCTAAAATAGGAACAGGAAAGAAAATATAGTACAAAAACATTAAAATAAAATCACAAAAGCAGAAAATCATGCATTAATATAGAGAGGGCAAACTGGATAAATATATCTAATGGCAATATTGTAATTCTAATGTTTTCCCCAATTAGGACTTTCAAAACTGGCTGTTACTAGTTCCCAGTGTTACCTATGTAAAATTCTTTGGCCATACAGTTATTGATAACAAAGTCAAAACCAGAAATTCATCTTAAATAAGTTTTAGGTCCTAATGCTGCTCATGGTCATACTCATCTTACTGCATGCATAAGCAAGTGTGTGTCCTAAAGCAATCACTTAGTAACTGGCTGCTATTTGTTCCATCTTCATCTCTTCTAACTGAGAAATATCTCTATTTCTGGTTTTGTTGTCAAGTGTGCTACTGCCTCCAGGAGAGCTACTAACAACAAAAGAACATTGGTAAACTTGAAAAAAAAAACAAAAAACTTTGTTCTTCTGTTCCTTCCCAAGTCTTTAGTATAATCCTAGGTTTATCAAACGGTAAAACAAATAACAACTGCTTATATATAAAGAAAGAAAACATTGTTTAAAGAAAATTAAGAATAAAACAAAGTTAAAATGGAGTTTTCTGCAAAATATCTTTGCATAGTAATTTTTTCAAGGGTGATGGCATACATTTCTTCTCACTTGCCCTAGAAAAGAGCCAATTTCATACTTGACGTTCTAAGGCCTGGACCATCAGAAGCAAGAGAATCAGACTCCTAATCGTCTCCAACCTTTTATGAAGCGTTGCATCATATATCACCTGTGTGAACTGCCAGGTTTCCTTTACAAGGCCATCAAAAATATATATCTTACCAGAAAACCGACAGTTTGCATACTACATTAGCTTTTAAGTCTCAGTGAGCATAACAGTGGCATAGCTCATGCAGTCAGTGTGTTGTGCAGCTGTATGCACTTTGCACATGCATACTGTTCTGTACCTTTAGGATTCCAAGCACACACAATGATTCTTCTGTCATCTGGATTGTTTTTGATTGTATCAATTACCTTCTGCAGCTGGTCAACTCCTTGGCCTGAATAATCTGGAAAGAGTTACCAAATGAGACTTGAGTCAAACTTAAATTGTTTTATATTCCACTTATTTGGAAGCCAAACCTAACTCTTCAGACAAGTGACGCTCAGTATTCCTTCCTGCATGCCACCTTGGAATGAAAAAGCCTTATATCTTGTACACTGAGTTCCATCTCCAAACTAGCCTTGTGTGCCACTTCTTTGGAAAATACTAGTGACTTTAACAATTTACACCAGGGGTGTAAAAGTTATCTGGCCCCTGGGCCAAATGCATGATACTGGGCTAGTCCACATGCCAGATCAAGCCCACTGATCTTCCTCACTCACATATACTGGATGTTCCAGCAGCTCTGGGATACATGCCACATGCAGCACCTGCTCCAGCTGGTCTGGGACCCATGCTGCATGCAGCACTACATGCAGTATAGGTCCCGGAGCAGCTGAAGTGGGCACCGCATGTCCCAGAGCAGCTGGGGAAGGTGCCACATGCAGTACAAATCCCAGAGGGCTAGGGGTGCCTGCCTTGTTTGACATGCAGACTATGCTGCATGTGGCATTCATTCTGTGATCCACACATGTGGAACCCCCTCTCCTGCTCAACTGGGTCCAGGATTGTCTCTCACAGAGTGCCTGCTCCAAGGAGTGCAGGACCCACGGTACATATCACGTGGCACCTGGGGGCAGCTCTGGATGATGAAGATCTGCAGGCTGGAAATGGCCCACGGGCCATATCTTTGACACCCCTGATGTGCACAATGCACCCCCAGCTCTTTTGAGCAGTAAAATAATTAACAATGTTGGCATCTAAGACATCATTATTGGTATGGCGTCAGGACCTATCAGCATTATTGGCAACAAACTGACTAGGTTAAGGTCCATAATCTTCACGAGCCTTACTTTCCAAAAAATAAAAAATATTTATTAATAGAGTTTATTAATAAATTTACCATTCCATTATCTCCACCTAGGATAAAGAACAAGCTAACTTGAGCTTTACATATCGTCTTCAGCCTTTAAATGCAACTGTATTAACCATTTTTCAAGCCCAAGGTTTCTCATCTCAGTTGCCACTTTTGCTGTAGATATAGCAAAGGACTATTTCGAAACCAAAATAGGCTTTAATCTGGCAGTGATAACAGCTCTAAATTAAAGTGGCATAGCATACCATCAATAATTTAGCTGTTCTACAAATGAACTACACTGCCTGCAGTTCTGCCAAGACTGCATCCATCAGGAGTTCACATTAGAAGTGCACTCATTACAATTCTAGCCTAATGTCCTGGAAGTAAGGGATCATACTAATCCTATCTTAATCTGATTAAACACTAAAGATGAAATTTTCCGTTTTCAACTTAACAGTGTTATGCATTCACCTGTATTCATATCTTTATATTCCGCTCCAAAATGTCTCCATTGGAAACCATAAACAGGTCCTAAATCCCCTTCCATTCTGTGGGTGAAACCTTGTTTATCCAAGAACTCGCGTGATCCATTGGCATCCCAAATCTTGACTCCCTTTTCGGAGAGCTCTTTAGCATTTGTAGAGCCCTACATGGTAAAAGAAATACAGCAAAAATAGAAACTCTAAACCCAGGGTAAATACTTGAATTTAAATGTTGGTACTAAATTATGCTATTCTAAATTTGCTTTTTTCCTTATTGTGGAAAGGACAAGTAGTCTTCTGATTAAATGTATTGAATCACAGACAGATTATTATATGCTCGTTTGTAGTTGACACACTATATTATGTTGAAGAAACAGAAGACTGCCATTTCTTCCTTCTCCTTACTACTTTTATTTTCTTGCAGTTTCTAGCCTGTTTATTAACAGAGCACATGAAACTCTCCCATGTAGTACTCCATCTCTGTATAAACCCTTAAGGCAAGGATATAAAATTGAAGTGAACAGAACATTAACTTCACTCTGCAACAGTCCAAATCAGACTTAAAACACTGTAGATTCACATCTAAAACACTACTAGCCTTTGATGTTGAAGATGCAAACATAAAAACAAAAAGGTTTTGAGTTAATGAGAAGCTACTATCTGACATTTCACATAGGCATTTCAACACTTAAACAAAGGATATTCTTAATGCATCAAGAAACATCTAAATGGCAACACACTCAGGCCTTGCCTATGCTTTATTTTTGTTAGTACATGTGCTAGATTTGTGCTTTGTTACCAACTGTTACACTAGTGAAAACCCTACTATAAACAGTTTTACCAGTAAAAAGGTCCAGCATAGTGACATGCCATCATTCACTTTCCAAAGTGTTAGAGATTATGCCAGCATAAAAACACTTTTATGCTAACCTAACTTCATTCACTCTAGTGGCGTTTTCCTCACTTTAGTGTTATAGCTAAAAAACCTATAGGTTTTCTGGTATATACAAAGCTCTTAAATCTTCAGGATATTTCACTGGAGAGCAAAGAGAATTAAAGGAAATTGTCACCAGATTCTAGCATTGTGTTAGCATCTTAATATTTTGCACGAAACTAATGTATTGAAGGTAGGATATCTGCAAATAAACGGGAAACTAGTACAGAGGTGTAGGTTGTAGCAGGTCTAAGGACATAGGCTGACAAGGTTCTTTGGGTGAATCTGATATCTTTTATTAGACCAACTTAAATAATTGGAAAAAAAAAAATTTAGCAAGCTTTTGGGTTTAAAAACCCCTCGTCAAGCCAAGGAAGCCTCTACAAATTATACCAGCCCAGCCTCTGGCTTCTTTAGTGTTCATTCCATCTGTGCGGGCTGGGAGCGCCCCGAGCCCTTTTTCGCGCTGCACACGGGCTGTGGCCAGCAGCCTGGGCATGCGGGGGCGGAGAGGGAAGGCCTTCGCTCTGGAATTAGGCACGGACACGTATCGGTAGTTTAAAAGATTGTTTACTTACACCGAGATGGCAATGGTGTAGGCTGAAAAGCTTGATTAAGTTGCAATTACAGACAGACACAACACAGATGGTCTCGTGGAGGTTGCTAGGCTCCACGGTGCAGAGCTCCGGATGCTCTGGGTGAACAGGCCACCAATGTAGAAATCATAAATATGTCTTATATTAGTCGCGCTCGAAGACGGGAAGAGGTGGGCGGTGGATCAGGCCGCCACGCTCCTCTGGATCTCACACAGGGTTCCTATTACCCTGCTGTGTACCCAGAGTCCCCACGAGATGGATGTGGAGTCCTCTTCGGCTTGGGCGGAAACTGCTCAAGCCTTTTATACGGCTAACAGGCCAATCGCTAGCCGCCACGTGTGAATAATTTAGCACTAGCCAATCACGGGGAACAAATTTGCATACCGGTGGCGGGAACTCTTTTGCACCGTGCATTCCTCTTGCAACTCGAGCAATGCACTCTGCAAAAGAAGCTGCAGAAAAGGCGGGAAACTGGTCCCTGCACCGGGGTTTCCTCTTGCTACAGGAAACTCCCGTGCAATGCTCTGCAACTTAACGTGGATAATTCTGATGCCGAAGCGCACACACAATCATGCGTTTTGGGTCATGACACCATCCAGGAAGAGCACAACTGCAGAGGCCTGAAGAAATGGTTTTTAAACATGAAAGCTTGCTAAAAAAAATTTCCCCCCCCCCCAACTATTTAAGTTGATCTAATAAAAGATAGATTCACCCAAAGAACCTTGTCTGCCTGGAAACTAGTAGGATGTTCCAGTGTGCTTGTTCCTTTTATGAAAGCATAGAGTTTAAAATACTTCCTACTATGATATATTTTTTAACTGAACAGTTTTCAGGACACCTTAGTTAGATACCCATCATACCTTGATAAACCAAAGCAGCTCTTCCAGCACTCCTTTCCAGAATACTCGTTTTGTTGTCAGCAAAGGAAACTGATCTTTAAAAAAAATTAAGTGTCAATGCAGAAATGTTACTTTATACTAATCAAGTATTACACATTGCTCTTCACATTTCTGTTATGACCCTAAATTGGTAAGTCCAGAGAATTACAACCAAATAAAGGTATTACAAATATGAAGTTTCTAAGATTCAACAGTGGGGGCAGAGTTAAGCATGGCAAAGGATAGGTATATGCAGTTGATAAATACAACTCTAGTCAAGTTTATGGAAGGAACAGTACCACAGGTGTTCCTGGAGTAGTATGAGGAGGATGTGATGTGTATCATTGAATACTTCGTTTCACTAAGAGCAGATTAAGAGGAAACTTTGTGTTTACATGGGTTGACCTCATGTATACAAGGCGTATATTAATCCAATGCTTCAGGGCTTCTGTTGGCCTTCCCCCACCCCCTTCCTTAAATATATTATTTGGTTCCTAAGGGTTTTTTTTCCCCCTTTAAGTGCTGGATACTTGTCATAGCTATGGAGATAAGACTGCCTTTGGTGCATTGGTGCTTCTAAGTCAGCACTTCTCAACCTTTTTAGAAGGCAGGGTAGATTTGCACCCTATAGACTAACCAAAGTAGATATTATACACAGCATGAGCTTTTGTGGGCCAAAGCTCACTTCATCAGATAGCTGTGAAAGGATGCGTGCAAAGCCTTGTAGAAGGAGAAATTTGAATACAAAAAGGCAGAAAGAAGAGGAGGGGCAGTGCCGACTCAGAGCACCCGTTAGAGTTAGGGTGCCCCTCTGAAAATGGCATCTCTTAATTAAATTTTGCTTGTTCTTTGACTACAGAAAAATAATAGAGCAATTCTGCCATTACAAAGGATGCAGAAAGAGCAAGTCTGAATGTTTCGACACTATGGAGTCCTATCTGAAATCCTTGGGCACATCCCCATGAGCGTTTGCAGTGCCTCAAAGCCATTTGAGGTGCCACAAACAGCATGTGGCACATGTGCACCACATTGCTAATTAGCAGCAAAGTGGGGATTTTTTGACACCAGATCCCAGTGTAAAAAAAAACAAACAACACTGCTAAAAAAAAGTGGTGGCCGGCTTGGTGCTGCTGCTGCCCCAGGAGGCCCCCAGGTAAGGCTGTTGGGGCCAGCCCCAGCCTCCTCTACCCCACCTGGGTCCCTTTGTCACATGCCAGAGCGCACGTGCATGCCCAGGGACAAATACCTGTTGCACAAATATGTGCCGCTGCTGTTTGTCCTGCAGGAAGCGTGTGCCCCTGCATGTGCACACTCGTGGGGATGTGGTTTCTGGGTCTATCAGGTGAATCACTTGTAGGTGTTTCTGCAGGTAAAAAGCGCTATATTCAAAGGCTCTCCTGGTACCCTGCTTGGGGACCGGGGTTCTCCGTGGTACTGAGAAGGTGGCTGGTGAACTTGGGTTCACCAAAGCTCGTGCTCTCTCTCGCCATATACGCATGTCTTAGTCTATAAAGGTGCGCATCCACCCTGCCGCCTGACTGAGTGCAGAGTAACAGGGCGAACACCTCTCCGCTCATCCTGGGTTTTGCTCAGCTTAAATCAACTGCCTGATATGGGGCCAGGAGGCATTTCCCCCAGGCAGCCTAGCATGCTTTGGGCCCGAGGGCTCTCCATGCAGAGAGATGGATCCCTTCCCGTCCTACCCCCACAGCAGTCCGCCTCCGCCCGACAGCAGCGGCGCTCCAGGTGGTAGCCGGGCGGACCCGCCCGGAGGGGCCTCGCGGGCAGGGCAGGGGGAAGGCGGTCACCTCGGAGGCTGTATCGGGCCTGCACGCCGAACACGGACACGGTGCCGGTGCCGGTGCGATCGTCCTTGCGGTGGCCGCGCTGCAGGATGTGCCGCACCTGCTCCAGGTACTGCAGTTCCCCGGCCGCGGGCGGCGGCGCGGCGGGCTCCGCGCTCAGCGGCTGCGAGT